GAAAAATTTCTTCACAGAAAGGGTTGGCGAACACTGGAAGGGGCTGCCCAGGGAAGGGGTCGCGTCCCCATCCCTGGGGGAATTTAAAAGCCGGGCAGACAAGGGTGCATAGACTGCATTGAGCTGATCAAGCCATTGCCTGGTGAGAAAGAGCGCTGGGGAGAAGGTGGTTTGGGAATGGGATGCTTCTGCCAACTGTCATGTGGAAATGTGGAGAGGGAATCTCCTAAAGACCCAGATGTTGGTGATTTTTCTGCAGGTTTATATACAGAGAAAAAAACCACCATCTTAAAGAGAATCATAGGAAAATAGGGAAAGGGAGGACCTCAGGGCATCCCCATATCTGAAGGAAACCGTCTGTCCTGAGGTGATAGCAGAGCCTTAAAAGTCTCAAATGATAGAGATTCCACAACCTCCCCAGCAAGGCCACACACGAAGATGAAGAGAACACCCAGGGGTGACAGAGTGGGCTGGGGAGGGACCAAAGGCAGGTCCCACTGGGTGCCACCCTGAGCAAACTGGAAGGGGGAAGGAGGAACTGACTCAAGCAAAGCAGCACCTGAGTGAGGGGATGGTGAAGGGCAAGGCTTTGTATAAACCTTTGTGGGAGCCACCTGTGAGTTGGCCTTGACTTTCTCAAACACCGCGTTCCTTCCTAGGCAAAGCATCCCACTGGTTAGGTCTTTTTATTATTTGACAGTTGTCCCTGGATTGTTTCTTTCTGCCCAGCAATATTTCTGCGGGTGTTACCAATTTAAATTATATCCCAACCTGGAAAGGTGATTTTTAGACCATTAAAAAACATCACCTGGCTCCAGTTGCAAGCAGCTGGGGGGGTCCTCTGAAATGCTTGTAGAGGCAGACAAAGTTCCAGGACTCAAGAAACTGTGGAAACAAGTATCTCCTCCTTCCTGAACAGGTCTCCTGGGTGAAATAATCTGGTTTTTTGGGGATGAAAATAAGCTAGTGCCATAGGTGTGTAGAGTCAGTACAGCTAAGATGAATGGAGCTGGGATTTTTATGTGTATCTATAAGAGTTCTTGAGATCTTTATAAGACAATGAGCAAGATGCAATGCTGAATTTGCAATATCAGCAGTTAGGCACCACAGATGCAACCAAACATTCATGTCCCAGAGTTGGTTGGAAGGTAGAGACCCAGGTGCTGTTCCTACCCTCCCATTGCACTGCAATCTCATGCAAGCAAGATGTAGAGCAGACTGAACTCTTTCATCCAAGACCCTTTGGGATGTTAGAGGGAGGTGATGAGCTATGGAGTCTGCAAGAAAGCGGGGGAGGTACCGGTGGACTTGCAGCACCCACGGTGCTGCTGAGGGAAGGAATGAGAGGGAAGAGGAGGGAGCTGATGAGTGACCAGGCGGTGGCCATGTTTCTCCTCCCCGCAGCCCTCCACCTCATCGGTCGCCTCGGACGAGAAGGTTGATTACGTGCAAGTGGACAAGGAGAAGACACAAGCACTGCAGAGCACCATGCAGGAGTGGACTGATGTGCGGCAGTCCTCGGAGCCCGCCAAGAGCACGAAGCAGTAACGCCCGTGGCCAGCAGCAAAACAGGCAAATGTCCCAGCGGTTTTCCCCAGCTGGGGCCCCACCGGGCTGCCAGCTCCACTTGGGCTGGATTTCTAAGACTTGTCTATGGAGGGGGTCTTCATTATTTTTTTTTCTTTTAAGATAAAAGGAAACTGAATTTCAGGGGAAGACTTGGCGGATACTGTTTGCCAGTGACAAAGACCAACTATGTTCGGTGGCTAGGTTTGTGCTTTAGCTGCTGGATGCGCTATCCAGGAACTTCAACTTAGCAATACCAGGTTTCATCCTACACATCTTTTGCTTACAGCTATTAAAGCCACCTTGTATGTACTAACACCGTATCATCCCTCCCTGTCTTCTTCCATACCATACCTCCAAACTGTGCCATGCAGGTTTGCAGCATCTCTCATAGAACATCATTCCCCAGCTCCAATTCCCCATTCCTTATGGTTCCCCTCTTCTCTGCCTCCTCCTGATCCCAAAACTGAGCAAGGACCATTCCTTTTGAAATCACTTCCATTGTCCCATCTCTTGTAAATAATGCGTTCAAAACCTCTGAGGGCTATTCTCCTCCTATCGGGACAGCCTTCATGGTTTTGGTTGTGGTTATTAACCTTCAGGAGCTTGAAGAGCATCCAGACTGTCCCATTGAGCTGACTTAGAAGCCCAGGACTTGCCCCACCATACACACACGTATATGCCAGCACAGGCTTGCACACATGCATGCATGCATGAAACAGTCAAGTTTGTTGGGGTGTCTTCTGCTTCTGATGCTTTCCAGCATCTCTCAAAGTCAATGGGCTGGAGAGTTTAGCTTTGGATGGCAGAATTTAAGCCCTGACCCACTGCCTATCTGAAAGCAATTGCCTGTGAATCTGGCCCTAAGAACCAAAATCTGTCCTTTGTGGCACCAAAAGAAGCCCATAGAGTCCTAGATCCGTGGCCGTCATGAGAAGCTCTGTGGTTGAGTATGAGGAGTGCAGGGAGGGTCTGGAGACCCTGTGTATCTCGACTGGCTTGAGGATGAGTGACAAGGAGGGAGTGTGAGGCTGTTGTGAGGACCAGGAGAAGGCAGATGCTGTACTGCAGAGGTTGGTCTTGGGTGAGGAAGTCTGGTAGGGTGTATCTTGGAGGAAAGGAGTAGAGCAATTGAAATGTTAGTTGATGGTGAGGCCTTAGGCTTGGGAAGAAGCTGGTCAGGAGAGTCAGGGCAAAGTGTTTCAATACAAGTTTTAATGTAGCGTTACGGTTGGTCTGTGGTGGGTGCAAAGGGCTGGAGTAGATATTTTCTCCCCATCTTCAGCAATGTTTCTTCAACAGAGAAATGAGGCTTGTTGATGTTAACAACCCTAGGTTCTAATTATGGATGGGAATCTGCTGTTGCCCCTTGCCAGCATCCTGACTTTCAGGCTTTGGGATTGCTCCCCAGGCAGCTGCCAGGCGCAGAGAGCCGAGAAGGAAGAGGAGGTTTATTGCAGAGATAATAATTCATGATCTCATGAAAACAGGAAGGACTAATGATTGCCATGGAGCAGCCTGACTGCCAGACAGCGAGCGCTGACACGGGTAAACAGGCCGACCGCAAACCAAGAGCCAAACGAAGGAGATGTTAGAAAGATTAGGTAATAATATTTATTAAATAGTTGCAAGCTGAACCCCTCCCAACGCCACAGGCTCTATATTCCACCAACACCACCAAGTTGTATTGTTTATTGATGCTTAAATATTAACACATTTGTTTAAGCTTGGCCTGAGTTTGGAAGGGGCCAGACGTCACCCACATGGGGATAGGATACCAGTCCCTTAAGGGCTGCATGCTGGTAAAATAAGTCTTGAAATTCCAACACCAGTTTATATTTTCTTCTCATGTGCCATGAAAGGGAAGGATATTAATGGAAAAGCTCCGATGAACCTTTTAAGACATTGGAGTGTTGGCCTTTCACAGGAATAGTGAAGCAAATATCCTAATGCTCATGGTAAAAATAATAATCATCTAGAAGAAAAAAAAAAAAAAAAGACCCAAAGGGAAAGATTTAGCACAGCCAGATGCTTTCTGAAGGTCAGGGAGTGTGTTACAGCCTGCAAGGGCCTTTGCCTCTTGTTGGGGGTTTGCACGCTTGCATGGTGAGATAATGAAATGAAGACCAGAGTACAGTGCTTCGTATTTCTATAGCCCCTTTCATCACGGCATCTCAGGGGAGACTAAACATTGGACCTGATCCAGAGCCCACTGAAGCGTGCGTTCACCCAGCTGGGAGCGAGCTCCCCATCCCCACCAAAAAGCAAATGTGACTCAATCTGATTTTTTCCTATTTCATCCTCTAAACTGCTAGGCGGACACAAAGGAAGATGAGGTTGGGGGAGAAGGGTTATGGTGCACGCTGGATACGTTTCCTTGCCAAAATTGTGCTGTTCTCCTCCTATCACACTAAAACGCAGCCACCTCTGGGGTGGATTGCAGCAGCAATTTGGGGAATAGCCCTTTATGCTGCTTTGGGTCTGTCTCAGTAAAACAGTGCAACTGTTCTTGAGATGAAACTGAGCCCAGCTCCAGGCCAAAAAAATCTTGAACCAGATGAAAAGCCTGGAGAAATCAAGTGACAAACCATGCTCGGATTGAGTCTTTTTCTCCACCTGCGTGATGGGGAGCTCAGCAAGTCCCAAAAGTACCCTGAAAGTGGACAGGTGAGGGGCAGGCAGCAGAAGTAGTCATTTCTGGTGGTGCAGTGGCTTGAGGGACAACACAATGGGTTGGGATGCGTTTTGCTGAGTCGGTGCCCTGTGCTTCTGCACTGGGACTAGGTGCATCCAGTGCCCACTCCCGCCTTTAATCCAAAGCGTTAATTAAGATTGGAAAAGTCCTTCATGATGCTGGAGAAGCTAGTCCTTTTACTCCACCTCCCACAAAGGTCTGTATTTATTCATGGGGCAGGCACTGGCTTAGGATAGCTCTTTTCCCAGGCTCAGCCCTCCTGTTTTGATGATTTGCTTTCACAAGCATCCCCAGTAACTGGCCCTTTGCATTTGGCAGACCAAAGACCAAATCAGCCCAAAAGTGGCTACTTTGCAACTGCTGATTGCTGGTTCCTCCCTGCTTTGCAGTGAGATCTATGTTTTCCCAGAAACAGATATATTCCTCCATATTTTTCTTCTGCTGAGCACCAAGCAAATGGCCCCTCCAAACTAAATAGCAGCCCATAGACTCCATGCATTGCCATATAGACATGACTACACCAACCCCTCCTGAAAGCCATGAAGTAATCAATGGCTGCAGTGGAAATAGTCATTCCTGACAGTTGCTGAGCTCATTACAGCAGTCCCTGATGATTAATGTTTGTGCAGTATTTAGTCTTAAACCATATTGAAAAGCAGCTGGTTTAATTACATGGACTGCCAAGAACTTTGTCCTGAAGGCATTGAGTTTATCACATCCACTCTATACTTGGATGCTCAAGTATGACTGACTCTTTTGTTAGAAATAGGTATTTTAGGAAGCTGAGAGCATTGCAAGTGATTCATTTTAATTGCAATTAAAATGGCTTGAGCCTTCACGTCAGAGCCTGCTCTTCAGCTCCCATTTAAGAAAAAGGATGTGCTTGCATGTGTGTGTGTGTGTGCTCATGGCGAAGGGTTGTCTGTGGGATGAGCATCATGACTTCAATGTGTAGTTTCATGAAGTACCAAGGCCATGGCTCAAAGCTCTCCCCAAGCTTTAAAATGACTAAGCTTGGTGGTTTTAAAGGCAGGAGTCTCCAAAAGCGTGCATCCCTTGCTGTGAGTGTGCAACCACTGCTCATGGTTCCTCTGTTTGCTGAGATGTTTGAGCTGCCTTGGAGCTGATTTGCTTTGAACTGACATTTGTGTGGTTGGTGGGAAATACATTTCCAGTTTTAAATGGATGCCAGGCTTAGGCTTAGTCTCAAGTCAGAGAAAGAAACTAGGTGTGAGTGCAGATTGTGCTAGGGCTAAGCTGAGTGTCTGGCGGATGGGGCCAAATCCAGAGCCAGAACCAAAGGGTATCTAAGGCTTGGGTTGACTGGGGGCTAACTGGGATGGATTTGGACCCAGGGCCACCAGCCACTGACAAGGGTTATATATGGGGGAACAGGAGGTTGGGAGGAGTGAAGACAGGAGTGTTTGCCAGCAAGATTTGTGTCTTGGTCCTCACCATGTCCTCCTTTGGCATGAGTCTGGAGTGAGGACTACAGAGAAGATTTGTGGATTGTGGAGGGGGGGTTTGCTTGGTAAAGGCCATGCACTGCTGGGAGAGGAGCTCCCACCACTCTTGGGACTTACCCAGGATGCTTCACCCTCGAGGGGGTCATCCTGCCTGACAACATGATGCCTCAGTGCTCTGGCTTTCAAAGAGCCCCAGGCCATGTGCCCAGTACTGAGCTGGGCAGGAGAAGCCCTACCAGAAAGTTGGTGAGAATCTGGCTGTGCTGGGGGAAATCTTGCTCTGGGGCTTCCTTGGGCTGATCATGGGGAAGCAGTGCTATGGCTTCACAGGGCATTTCAAGAGGTTGTGCCATCTCCATCCTTGGAGCTTTTCAACACCACTCTAGATGAAGACCTGAGCGAGAGGGTCAGACCCCATGGCTGATGCTGCTTGGAGGAGGGGGTGGGACTAGAGACATCTCCCCCCTCTGATTTACCCTGAGAGCCCGTGCTGCCAGGGCTGAGCAGAGACTCCTCCATGTGATGGAAGAGGCCAAAGGCAGTTCCTAGAGTCCTATAGCATCCTAAACAGGGACAGGGCCTCTTCTCCAGCCATGAAGCCAAGTGGCAAGGCACATCTCAACCCCTAAGGCCATACCATTGAGCAAGGTGGCCTAATCCATGCTGGGGCCATCCCTTGCACCTTGGAGAGGGCTTGCTGGCCCAGGCCAAGTCATTCAGGACACAGACACACAGTCCAAGCAACTGGGAGCCAGCTTGAACCTCTAAATTTGTTAGGATAGGCGTTGACCCAGGGCTCTCTGGAGCCCCACACAAGTCCCTGCACTCCAGGGTCCCAGTCCCTTAAGCATACCAGGAAGAGTTGGCTCCTTTCGGCCACCCATTGAGCATGGCTTCTTGGGAGGGGTAGAGCCATGCCCAGGTCTTATGTGGTGATGGGCTTCAGTAGAAAGTTTAAATAAATAAATAAATAAATGTTTAAATAGCTCCCAGGTCCTGTCTGATCTTGCTGGCCTGTGAGAGGAATAAGAAGATGGTTTCCTCAAGTCACACTTGCATTGTATGGGTGTTTTCCCACCTGGCAATGTTGCTATTCCATGTGAAAGTTGACAGCTGCAGTGTGTGTCCCATTGGAAAGGTGGTGCGTGGATGAGACGGGTGCAGTAGGGGTGTGCCTATAGAGAAGCCCCGCTTGTAATGAGAAGGGTGAAGAGCAGAGCCCAGCCCCAACCCCAGCCAGGGATTGAGCCAGAGGACATGCACGGCCATCAAAAAGCCATCAGGAAAATCAGAGAGACCAGTCCCGCATCAAATCACAAGAGCCAATAAACCAGTTTAGGCCCTTGGTGAGCCTATGTGCCTCTCTTCTCTGCCCAGAAAGCACCAACCTGCCCACGTGTACACAGTGATCTCACAACTGTTAATGAAGCTCTTGCAGGTAGAGATAGGCACCTTTTGTTCATGATTTCTCTTTGGCCTGGAGCAGTTCATCCCTTCATCAGCTTGTTCTTGGAGTCTCATCCTTGTAGTCGCAATTTTATCTGCTTGTTCACAACTCCTGGAGTTGTATGGTTAATCAGGTTGCTACTTCAGTGCCTGCTTTTGAGAAAAGTTGATATGTAACAAGGTATCACAAAACAGCTCTGCCCCTTCTAACCCATGGCCAACTGGTCCTGGCACATGGTGTCCAAATTTCAACACTGGCCAGCAACATCTGGAGCAGGAGCTGGGCCACATGGCTCCATCTCTTCAGCTAAAAGAGCTTCTCAACGGACTTGCTTCCAGTCAGCAGGCTCTTAATTTTCAGTGCAGCCCATTGCTGACATATAATGGGTGTGTTTGTAGGCCAGTGGGTTGACTGTATGTGAGGGGTTTGCCCCAAGACCAGGAGATAAGAAGCCATCATTTTTATTGTCGTTCTTTGGGTGAGACCACACTGTATCTTCTGGTGGGACGAGGACGTTCATTTGAACTCTCTATATCCCACTTTCTCTCCGGCTTGTGAAATGAAGATTTTTAGTACTTATTTCCTCACCTCACAGATGTGTCATGAGGTGTAATGAATTGACTTCTAATAATGCAAAGAGCTGTTTTGAGTCTGCATGCAATGGCCAAGCAGCATGTGGTGCTACCCAGTTATCTTGCCGAGCATCACACATGACACTGCACATCCCGCTCTGCAAAACTCATTAAAAACCCCTCATCCTTAATTACCAAGGTGGAAAAACCTTGGTGGGATTTTCTCCTGAGCAGGGTGGGTAGGGCGGGGGGGAAGCCATTTGCACAGTTTCAGCGTTCTGCTGCCACGTTGACCCTGAAATACCACATTTTATTTGAGAACCCTTTTGGACGTGGTGGCTGAAGCACGTTGTGGAGAGGGGAAGGGAGCAGGACCCTGGGCTCCATGGGGAGCCCACTGATGAATCCCATAGGGTTAGGACCAAACCTTTAGAATAGATATGTCCCACTCAACTCAGCCCTTGGCGAAGTCAACAGGTCCCCATTGACTTTGGGCATCGTTGCGTGGGAAGGGACCCAGCCAAATTAGGGTAGTTTTCTCCATTTGTTTCTTAACCTGCTGTGAGGGGGGGTCAGAGCCCTGGCTTTGAAGCCGTCGCGTCGGCAGCTGATTCGCAGGGATGTTCTGTGTGTTTCAAAGCCTATGACTGTTCTTAAAGAGGAGTATTTTTAATTTTTTTTTTTCCATTTGTAGAAGGAAGGACAAGAGTAATCTGTGGCAAACTGTACAGTATGTGTCTTCTTGTGGTGTCACTGTTTGAATGGTTATTAAGTTTTCAAATCACTGTGGACAGCTAATCACTTAAGTTATTAATTTATTCTTCGGGGTTTTGTTGTTTGTTTTTTTTAAGTAATTTGAAACAATTATTTATCCTGTAAATTGGTCTTGAGTGAAGCCTAGATAATACTTTTTTTGCTGTTAATAAACATGGTACATGCCTGACGTGAGGTGATCTCATTTTTAAGTACTGTATATGCAGCGGGAAAGCAACGGGAAAATAAAAGAATGATAATAAAAAGACATCTCTTCCTGGTGACTCCCAGCATGATTTGGAGTGGGGAGAGAAAGGGGGAGTTATTGACTGGATCAAGTTGAATTATGCAGCACCTTTGAAGCTTTCAGAGCATCTTCCCAGCATGTCGCCGAGTTACCTCCTACAGCTGTGCAATGAGGTTCTTTAGGATGTAGTTAAGGTTTTTCCTGATACCAGAGTCCAAACCATGTGTTTTTCAGCTGCTAAAGTGAATTTCATACTATATATGTGCGCCAGGGATATGCTTTGGCGCGTGCAGGGTGAGGACAAAAGCTGCCTTCTTCACCCATCAGCAGCTCAGCACCTGTGAGCCCCAGCTCAGGGCACCAGATCACCCATAAAACCTAAGCTCAGGAACAAATCTTTTTCCCCAGAGTTAAAAGTTCAACCCCACCCTTCAAGACACTTATATCTACTTCAAAAAAAACCCAAACCCACACCTGGGGAAAGACACCTCCCTGCGGCACAGCTCCTGTAACCCCCTTTTTTAGGCAAGAGTAACATCACCTCACATCTGCAGCACATCTGGGATCCCAGACCTGGAGCTGAGGACTCCACTGTGGGCTCTCCTCGGCCAGAGGCACATGTGACACTGCGGACCATACTATCGTATATACTATAGTATATACTCTACCAATATACCGTACACAAATATTGCTGTTATTGCTAACAACCAATAGTAATGCAGCATATAGTATAATTGGCATAGCATAGATAGTAACATACTATACTAACGCTATGCTAGACTTCTGTAAGGCCTTTGATGCGGTCCCCATAACATTCTTACCTCTAAACTGGAGAGATATGGGTTTGCTGGATGGACTGTTCAATGGATAAGGAATTGGCTCTGTGGCCTCGTCAGAGTTACAGTCAATGGCTCAGTGTCTAAGTGGGAACCAGTAGCAAGGGGTGTCCCTCAAGGGTCCATACTGGGACCAATACTGCTTAATATCTTCGTCAATGAGATGGACAGTGGGATTGAGTGCACCTTCAGCAAATTTGTGGATGACACCAAGTTGTGTGGTGCAGTCAATATGCTGGAGGAGGGGATGCCATCTAGAGGGACCTGGACAGGCTGGAGGAGTGGACCCATGCAAACCTCATGAAGTTCAACAAGGCCAACTGCAAGGTCTTGCACTTGGGACTGGGGCAATCCTCAGTATCAGTACAGGCTGGGGGATGAAGGGATTGAGAGCAGCCCTGAGAAGAAGGACTTGGGGGTACCGGTAGATGAAGAGCTGGACATGAGCCGGCCATGTGTACTGGCAGCGCAGAAAGCCAATTGTGCCCTGGGCTGCATCCCCAGCAGCATGGCCAGCAGGGCAAGGAAGGGGATTCTGCCCCTCTGCTCCACTCTGGTGAGACCCCCCTGAAGCCCTGCGTCCAGCTCTGGGGTCACCAGTGCAGGACAGACATGGATCTGTTGGAGTGAGGCCAGAGGAGGCCATGGAAATGGTCCAAGGGCTGGAACACCGCTGCGATGGGGAATGGCTGGGAGAGTTGGGGTTATTCAGCCTGGAGAAGAGAAGGCTGTGGGCAGACCTGATTGCAGCCTTTCAATACTTAAAAGGAGGCACAGGTTGCCCAGAGAAATTGTGGATGCCCCATCCCTGGAAGTGTTCAAGGTCAGGTTGGACGGGGCTGTGAGCAACCTGGTCTATTGGAAGGTCACCCTGCCCATGGCAGTGGGGCTGGGCTAGATGATCTTTAAAGGTCCCTTCCAGTCCAAACCATCCCATGGCTCTATGATTCTACAATATTAACAGTGCATTACTAATACTCATCATACATTATAGTATTCTACTAATAGTACAGTATAGTTACAATATTATAAAATATGGTATATTAATAGTATTCATAGCAATAATAATAGTATTAATAAAGTATATTAATGCAAACTTTAGTGTATGTTAAATATTTAGTGTATTACTCATATCTTACACATATTTATCTGATAATAGTATATCTGTGTGTATATATGAGAGAGTCCGTTGGGAGACAGTCATGAAGGGCAAAGGGGTCCAGGAAGGCTGGGCATTCTTCAAGAAGGAGGCTGTCCCCATGTGCCGTAAGACGAAATGGTGGGGAAGATGACCGGCCTGGCTGAACAGGGAGTTTTGCTGGGACTCCGGAAAAAAAGAAGAGATTGCCACTTTTGGAAGAAGGGGCAGGCAACTCAAGAAGAGTACAGGGATCTCTTCAGGTGAAGTCCCTGGTGACTGGAAAAAGGGAAACATCATGCCCATTTTCAAAAAGGGTAGAAAGGAAGACCCTGGGAACTACTGACCTGTCAGCCTCACCTCTGTGCCTGGGAAGATCATGGAACAGATCCTCCTAGAAGCTATGCTAAGGTACATGGAGGCCAGGGAG